TTTACCCTTTCTGTTTTCCTTTGTGTCCGCTGTAATAGAAATACAGAAATCTGCACAGAAACATCTAAAATACTACTTTGTTTTGTGAGTTCTTTGTATCTTTCAGCTATTTTTGTCAGGTGTTCTGAAAATAAGCAGAAAATAAACTTTGCTTTTTATGGGGCTCTTGCAGAAGCTTTATTGAAACAATCAAATGATGTCTGAAGTATGTCTGGTTTCTCAGCTTTCCACCAAAGACTTCATCATATATGAGGTGTAACTCAGTTTCCATTTGTTGCAAACTGATGCTGGTTTGACTGTTGCTGTGCAACACAAGTGCTCTGAAAATGGAATCAATTAAATCCATTCAACATGAAATCAAAATAAAGGACAAATTCATGATTTATCTTTGAAATCAGCACATTAAAATAACAACAGTCCTTTTCATTTAATTCTATCATGATTGAACCATTCCTCCATATAAGAAGATAATCTAAATATTCCCTTTACAATCACACATGTTCAAGGACGTGTTAGACATGATAACATAATTTGCTGATTAACTGCTAAATATATAATGCTACGAGTGACAAATGAATGACTAAGCAAGCAGAGCATCTCTAAACTGCTCTGCCTAAAGATCAATATTTCATGTTAAATTTGGGCACCATTTGCTGAACAGCCATTACAGAGCTTAGATACCTGACCTGTAATAAGCACAGGTATTCCTGATATAATTTGGGTCCATCAGTGGATTATCTCTTGAGGTATTTCAACCAATTCTGTAGTAAGATTATCTGCATTTGATTTAATCTGTTGTATAAAAATCTTTGTCTTTTTGGTGGCATGTCATGCCTGGCACCTTGTGCATTAAGTGCTGAATGAACTTTTAAGGTATCACCAACTAAATTTTGTTTTCAGGTACAGCAATCTTATCAAACTATTGCAGCTCAGATTGTGTTATAGGTACAGACAGATACAATTTTTGAGACATACTAAACTTTTTAGGATGTCAGACATACTAAGCTGTCTGAAAGACTTGTATCTGTGGCTCAGACCTTGCTTGTGGATTTTTACAACAGGGAGGTGTTGAGGAAGGCGACCTCTTTCTTATTATGTTTAGACCATCCTCCCCGCAGCTTCCCTCGAGTTGCTGGTATAAAGTACCTGCAGTTAAGACCAAGAGACAGTCCTTTATACATGCTGATATTGTCATGCTTAACAATATTAAACCATAAGGGTTGTTGCCATTATTGAACTTTGTTGATGCTACTGATAAAACTTGGGCCGTTTCTGGTTTGTTTGTTTCTTACAATTTATGTGTTGTTTGATGAGTGGACATGCTGCAAATCAGTTTTCCATTGGGGAAAATATAATTACCATTATTATCAAATATTTTATTACACACATAAGTTGCAACGACAATATCTTATAATATTGTTCTTACAGTAGGTTTAAGTAACTCTTGTATTAAGAAGAATCAAAGTTGCCCGTCTTTCTTGTCTTACAGTACTGATGTCTTTCCACAGAATGTAAGGTTTAGCTACAAGGTGTTTAAGGTTAGCAAAGCACAAACTAATTGAAATGTAAATGACCCCCCATCCCACATTTAACACACAAACAAATAATATTTTTTAGTGCAAGCAAACTTTTTTGTAGCCTCTAACCCTTTCTACTCACGCCACTTTGTAACTGCAATTCTTTGTATCTGTAATCTTATAATCTTGCAAAAACATAGAAAGCATTGTACCAGTTAGTAAGTCTTAGCCTAACCAGATACGAACTGAATTTCCTTTTGCACACAGGTACATATTTTCAATTAAATATAGTAATTCATGCCAATACCATAAACACATAAAAAATACTCTTATCTTTTTGAGTCTTTGGGTTTGGGATATGCACTGTACATCACTGCAAAATAAAGGAGTTCGTTTATGAGTCAGCTGGGTCCATAATAATAGTATTTCCATCTGCCCTGCTGGTACACTGCTGTTGTACTGCTTTCAAAGGAGATATATTATAGGTGTGAGTGTCTTTGTCTTTGTGGTAGTAAACAGTAAAAAGAATATAATGAACCCATGTGCATTTGTATTTGAAAAGCTTCACAACATTTCCTGAATCGGAGTGGGACTTCAAACCCCTGGGTTTGGTGTAAACCTGACACAAAGATCTGAGCTGGTCTAAAGACTGAAAGAGTGAGAATGACAAAAGGAAAGTAATTTTTGAATAGGACACTTAATTTAACTCTCCCATGATCACGCTCATGATCTTTGCATTGTTTTGTTAGCTGAGATTATAAACATTTGGCTGTGTGCACACTCATAAGTGTCTCTCTTGTTCAATCCCTTGAAATCTAACTTTACTAGTAAAGTATATTAAGGTATAGGAACAAGACTGTATTCATAATCTCATTGTGAGATTTAATGTGTAACTGACATCTAGTTGCACTATCCTTATCACATGTGTTCTTATTTACTTTAATTTACTTAACTTTTAAAATGTGCTTTTTGAATCAGAAACTAACTCTAGTCTGTAAGGGGGAAGTCCTCCTTCACTGTCTGTTGTCACCTCACTCACCGCATTCACTGTTTTAAAATAGATTGCTT